CACTGTCAGTTGGATTTCCACTTCACCAGCAGTCATCACCAACCCAAGACTGTCTTATATAGCCTCACCATCAAATGAATGATTTAGACCGGCAGTGATAGTTAATTGTTGAATAATGAACGGTACATAATGTATTGGTAGAATTCGGATACTATGACAGTATATACTGGTCATATTAGGAGAAACTTAACTAATGATCACCGCTGATAAAACGGGCCATAATATATGTGTCACTATGAAAAATAAAGGGACACTGGATAATGCTGTAAATGTTGCCTACCAGAATTTGGACCTACAGTTCCATTTCGAGAAGAAAGGTTCAAAGCTCTAGCTTGAAGCCTTATGTTCCACTGGGAACGTAAATGAATGAGGATAGTATGTTATATTAAGAGACTGGCTGAATCCATGGTAACTAAGTACGTGTCAGTTTGTAATGTCAAGTACTTATTTGGGCATAAATTGTGCCAATAGCTTAAGTGACTAAGCATTTTTGTGGTGAATACAAACAAAAATCAAGGAAAATTGGGGAAGAATACTACCTTACAAATAGACTAAAGTTGCTTAGGGTCAGACAATAGACCATTACCAAATATGTCTGCATCAAGATGAGAAAGGATTTGGATGTTTATCTTTTTAAATAGAAAGAAATATTTTTCGCCTTTAATTCCATTTTATGTGTATCAGCATATTCACCATAATTAGGTCAATTTCATCTGAGTAATACACAAAGGTCGATGGTCAGAAATCTGCCTGTTTCAGTGGGTCCGTATTCAAAGACGTATTTTCGAAAATTTTGGTCAAGATAAGGGGGGATAAATCCCACTCTTTTGTTAATGATAATGAAGGTATTTTCTGAATTTCAGAGTACAGTTTATTTAGCAAAGTGAAAATAAGACAACACTGCAGTATCAGGCTTCTTATGAACTGTTCATTTTTTTTAATGTGATGGTATGCACTTAAACGTGTTTTTTAAGTATGTTTAGGAACTCTGCTATTGACTAATCAGTGAGATTTCCATTTTTGAAGCTAAAATCATGAAATAAATCAGATAAAAATGCTAAAGTGGACAATATGAAATTTTAGATTGTTGATCTATTGTAGATGGTTTCTTTATTGTTCTTTACCAGGCCAGTGAGTCACAAAAGAAACTGATTGTTGAATTGGTGTCAGCATTTTATTGGATAATTTTCACCTTCCCTCATCTGATTCACAGAAGTGAACTAATAAGTAGCTTTTTGAGTTATTCACATGGATACCTCGTTATAACCTTGTTCAGTTTTTCATTATGTAGCCGATAGTGGACCTAAGTAAGCGTACCAATATTTGCTAAGATGCAGATAAAGAATCCTGAATACAACGTAAAACACATTTTAGATTCCACTGCCAGTATGTGGTGATGCATAACGATAAATTCAATGATAAACAGAAAAACTCTTCATGTTCATGAGGGTGTGTGGATGGTTGATACTTCGAAACTGCCGACACAGTGGAAAATAATTTCCACTTCAGATACCTCAAAGAGAAAAATGGTTAGTATTGCGTAGACACTACGCCTGCCATGTTTGGCAGGTCTAAAGTATTTGTCCGATTGGCTCAGGGTCAGTGGAGTTTCTTTCGAAATATCAGAGGTGGATACGAATGACCACGAGGTGACTTAGGATGAACAGTGTTTACAGCCAAACGTTTCTAACCATTTAGGCAGCCTCAACCGCAAAGTAATTTGACAGCTGCTTCAAAATATGCCGTGCAAGGCCGCAAATCCTTATAAGACTCAGCTGCATGATGATGCCACAATTCAAAACAGAAACCTGAGGAGCATTTGAAGTGAAGAGGGGAGTGTGACAAGGCTATCTAACATCACTGATCATCACCTTGCTTCTGGTGGATTGAATCGTGGGGCAAACGGTGTAGAGTGAAAAGACAGAAATATATCAGACTCACAAAATACCCTAGAAGATCTAAGTTTCGCGGGTGATTTACGTCTGATGCCGCACAAACTTGAGAATACGCAAGCAAAAACCAACTGATTTACAAAAGAAGTGTAGAAGACAGGACTCCAGGGGTGTTGAAGATACCCAACCGAAAACGAAAACCAACAATCAACATCAGTAGGAGAAATCCAAAGAAAGTCGTCTCTTCCACTCACTTGGGCAACACTGTTTAGACTACAGGCTTTATATATGAGGATGTCAGAGCAAATGCAGATCGGGAAAGCAAGATAGGCATCCATAACTCTGAAATCAGGATCTGTATTCCCAGCACTTAGCACAAGGGACAATATTTGAATTCCAAACAGTCAAATCACTGCTTCTACATGATTCGGAGACTCGCCAAGAGAGTCACCAAATGCACTCTGAACAGACTTCAGACTTTCATCGACATCTGCCTTTGTTCTATCCTGAAGAACACATCGTGGACCAGAAAGAATAGGAAGAAGGAACTCTTGCAGGAAGCGAACCGATGAAGAGCCTATTGAGCAAAAATTATGGGGCAAAAAACTTGCAGATTGATTAGACATCCTCTCTGGAAACATTCTGGTATCATCACACGCCTGAAATTGGAGTGAAACCTGAATGGTAGGCGACAGGTTGTGTCTAAGCATGACTTAGAGAACATCAAATAAGGAGCAAATGGAAGCTTGTGGACAATCGTGAAGCTAGCTGAAAGTGACGGCAGGGAATCGAATACAATGAAGTTGTGCCAATGAAAACATACGTTTATGCTTTATAATGACTGCATGTGGAAAATAAATTTTCGGTTTGTCATTCTCTTAGAAAACTAGGACACCTCGTTGGGTTATTGTTATTTGCAAACCAAACCAGTGCATCAGGGTGGCATCTATCGGTTGGTATAAAATTCAGTATGGTAAGTACTGTGTTTTTCATACCTTCAGCCATGATAACTGACCAGGTCGGCCCTACCGAGCGAAATGGCATGGATCTAATCTCCTAGTAGCCCTGAGATAGGATTCACGGAAACTTATGAATTTCCAGTTTTCATTTTACTGGCAGGAAATGGATGCTGTCGGTTGACATTTCCTTTCCCAAGGCCAACGCCTCGATGAAGTGTTTGGATATTAGTCTGATGGGCGGTAGTTAGCAGTGGAATCTAAAATAGGAGTTTCGTTGCATATGAAGCTCTTCAGCTAAATTTACCTTCATCTTAGTGGGTGATGGTGCTCCACTTAAAACTTGAGTTCAGCACTCATTTTGGACGCTAAGGCATCATCAGTTAGACCTCTGAGACACGATAGTCACCTCTTTTGCACTGGGTATCACCAGTAATGAATTACAGTCTCAAAGGAAACATTTATTGAAGCCGAAGATAACTGATGCATATTCTATATTTCTTGACAATCGTCATCATCATCAGTGACTACGGTCCAGAGTGAACGCATTTTTTCTACTTCGCAAAATCCGAATAATATAAGTGTTTTGAACATATCGTCTATTACATACAAAAATTCCGGCTGTAGACGAATTAACCATGTAATGTTCCTTTCTACAAATGTCTGATTTTTAGTACTTTTCGGATTCTACCAGAACACGGTGAACTGTGTGGTCGGTGTTCTGTTATAAATTCTATTGTTTTTGTTTCACATTTAAAATCCAACTGAAGACGTTTATCCAAACTTGTTTTGATGAGAATTAGGTAAACACTATCTTTCAAGTTTCCTGATTCCTATGCGATCAACTAAACGTCTTCATCTTTAACAAGGATTCACACTGTTCAACTTATGAGTCGCCAATCAGCAAAATCTAAAGCATATTTCTCAGCTTACTGCATACATTTCATTCTGTCTAATGTTATTTCCCTAATCTTGATAGTGGGGATCTTATTTTGCTTTTTCAGTGTTACATCATATCTGTTCCTCTGAACAGACATTTTCATTTATTTTATTTCACTTCCTAGTTCAAAGTCGTTTGTGGTGTAAACACCACGAACGTTTGAAATCGCAGTTGGACGACATGGCCTATCATGAACACTGAGAAAAACACCTAAAAAGCTTAGTAACGAGTGTTCTGGTGTATTAGGGATCCTTCTGAAGGAAAGAAATATGATGTTTTGATATGGTGTTTTTGTTTTCTCCAGCACTCTTACGAACATCTTCAATCTCTGGTACTGGCAGTCACAAGAAAGATGTTTCCCAGGAAATTCATTGAGTTTGGTGATGAAATATTCACAATCACATATAAAATCTCGGAAAACACAGAGCTAATTTTATCTCCACTGAAAGCTAAAATTTTTCACTGATGTTTCCAACATGACTTACGCTAGTTTTTCCTTGATTTGATGGTTTTTGACTTTTATTTCAGCGAATGGAATTTTCTATTATTATTCACTGCACTGTCATAACATATAATCATAAATACACGTTTTTAATAACCAGCTTTCTTAATTATACTGATGTGATTTGCTGTTAATATTGACCAGCTTTCACAGTGGCATTAAATACTTCATTCAAATCCTTGTATTTTTCATGTGACACAACATTCCATTATTATTATTATTCTGTTTGGATCAAAATGAACTTTAAATCATATGCTTAATTTTCTTCTACGTTGACTTTAAATTCATCAGCTATCTTCTTGATGCTGCCTGCTTTAAAAAATGGCGTGCAACCTAATCTGAAATTAGCATAACAAAAGACCTACTTATTTCGTCAGTACTCTGATACAATCTTAAGCCAACTTTTATCAAAGTGAGAAAATGTTAGCTTTCCAAAGAGATATATTCCGCCTCTGTACCACATTTTTCAAATTAGCCTCTTAATGTGTTCCCACTGATCGCTTATGATCAAAGGGTAGAGAGAGAGAAAAAAACAGACATACTATTTTACACACAAATATTTACTAATATACTAGATTATTGATTTTAATACCAAAGATCACTTGGAATATTTGTCAACATTAATTTACTCACAGTCAAGTGTATAAGTATAAAATGAAAAGACACCAAATGAAAGGCACAAAGTCCGGAAAAAAGAAAATTTCTTGTACTCATAATCCGTCATCTTCTTCGATTGTCCCACGCTCCAGTTCACATGGTCGAAGGAATTCTTGACCCCGTTCATGAAACCATAAATTCATTACCCATTTTGAACCAGCTAAAACAGGACAAGCTGCGTGTCGAGTTCTCAAATCTCCTTCACCACTTGGTAAAAGATTAAACCAGAAGCCAGCTGCGCCCTGTTTTGGTACTACACGTGCACCAATACGATTAAATACAGTAGCTCCACCAGCTTGTATATCACTCAGCTACAAACAATCATAGTGTAAACCTAGATAAGTTATCTAAAGAAAGCATTTCAAAATAGAATGTACAAAGAAGCAATTTTACATTTGGATAAGAGGGCTGTAGCCAAAGAAGTGGCTAACTGTTTGTTTATATTTGATGTTTGATTATCATATTCTGTGAATTCATTGGTAATTAATTTATAAAGACAGTAGTAGTTCCTTCCTTCCTCAGCTCTGATTGTTAGTCATCATGGTGTTATGACAAAGTGATCACAACAAGAATGTACAAACAAGTGGCTAACAGCCAAACATCCGAAGTTAGATGCATTTATTTATTTATTAGAAAGTACCTGAAGACAATGAATGACATAAAACTCGTCCCAGGGCATTTTAATTAAATTAGTACTCAAAATCAGCTATATGGAGTAGATTAGATTTACGAAGTGATTATATGCATCTTTGAGATATGTAGTGAGAGTACGAAGTACACTCACAGAAGCTAATCAGTTTTTAACAGTCTTGGGTAGGGTAAATCTTTCGACGAAAAATGTTTATTGTTAATTTTATTTAAACATAATGGCTGAAAAGTACTTTGGAATGAGAAAGATGCTGACCGGTACTAATAAATCTTTAGTGGAAGCAGTAATAAAAACGTGAATCAATATTGTAACAGGGTTATCTGATTAATGACTTTGTCTGTCCACCAGTACGAAAAGAACACGCTTTATCATCAATACTGTGTACGTTTGCCGTATAACTGTGAGCTATATAACAGATGCTGTCAGTTAAGTTGTGTATTCGTCAGCACATAACACTAATTTAATTTTACTTTCTGGCTCTCATTTTAATAATGAGAAAGATGTTATTGAGTAATCCAGCAAATACAATACAGCGTAGAGCTTTATGAAACTGTCTTAATGTCCAAACTTTGGAAATGGAATCAGATTGGAGCCTGTGATCAGTGGCGATTAGTCGAGTAGTAAACCAATCACTTTCATGACAAAGCTGAAATGAAACTACTTTCGAAGAAATGTCTTACGGCTTCTGTTTAACTTCATAGAAGCATCCTGCTTTTTCTGAATTTAAAGTGGCATCTACTTATAGAAATAAAACTGCTTATATAGGGGTATATGTGAAACTTGAACACTGTGATCGTATGTTACTCTAATATTAACTTGTTTATTAAATGTATCACACAGTAAAACACCATCATTCATTCAATGACCTTTCGGACACAATTGATTTTTCATAACAATATCAATCCTAACTACACTACTTCAAAACTTGATTTTCGTAGTTCTACTTCTTCATTCAAATTTGTCGTATGGACAGTAGAATTTTCCAGATGTCACGGATCGGTGTTGAATCATCTCCATTACACGTATTCTCAGTTGGTTGGATACATAAAGTTCCAGTCATCAATTCCATGCACCACCCATTGTTTCATTGGATTTTAAGAGTGTCAGCTTGTTCTGTCCTATTGTATGGTTGTGTGTGACTGTATGTTCTGGTATAGCTGATCTCTTTTTCTAGATTTCTTATTTTATTAGGGTCTGTTGGTCTGAATTTCTCTAAGCTTTTGTGATCTGCTAATCTAAAACCGTTCAATCAACAGCGCCTAATGTCGTCTCCGAAAAACTGTGTGCAAATATAATGTACACTAGAAATCTCAGTAAAATACAAACAGAGAATATCTGTTGCATAACCAATATCACTTATCTTTTTTCCAGTATTGGTTTTGAAGGGATTTCGTTTGATTCTTTGGAGGATTTCATCAAGAGATGACATCAGTTACAGAACCACTGGAAAACTTTGAAGTGCTGGCAGTTGTTTTGTCCCATTTTGGGACTCTTCATCAGTAATCACCCACTGGGGTTCAAACCCAGGACCTTCTGGTTACGAGGCGAGCTAGCATTTAGCCACTGGGACCCGATCAGATGGCTTATGAATTCTAACTTCTGCCAATTCATGAAATAGCGCGACCACTTCGTAATGTTTTCTTCAATGAGTTACTGCCTCACCTTCGACTCATTATGAGAAATAAATTGTGCTCGAAACGTCATCAGTAAACATTACTGTATAACACTGTGCGATTTTATCAAAATAAATTTTACCTATAATGGAGTTATGCTCTACCAAAGTGCACAAGTCCTATTCTTATATCAGTCATGGTTTGCTTTGTAAAAAACCTTTGTCTTGACTGTACTTTATTTTCAATCAATTAAGACTTTTATTTATCATATGTAGCGTAAATAAGTGTTGAATTATGATATGCTAGAGTAGTAAAGTCGAAAGCCGACTTATCACTATTTGTAGTGGTAGAGTTTGTCTCGTATTTTTATGATTTTTAAAAATTAAGTAAAACTCATAAATACATTCTTTAACAGTATTATCAGTAAGATGATTGCACTTACATAGAAGATAATTGTTGCTATTCTATTTCCATTCTGAACTTCAAATGCATCCTTTTCTCTTTTCTAGAAACAATTAAAAAAAATTTCTACACTATAGATTAAACAACAGATTAGAGTAAGACTGTAATGTAATAATATAATTCATAATTTGCACTAATGTATCAATAATTTGGAATTAAATCACTCATTTTAATCACCAGTAGTATTACACCGGAAAATCAGAGTTCAGCGCAAACACCCGATATAAAGAAAAGTAATTACTGAATGGGGACACCTGACGGATGAATACAGACATAGTTTAGTCCGGTCAAATAACATGATATGCGTGACTCGTGGTTGATCCCCGAAGCTGTGAGTTAAGAAGTTATGGGTTCATCGATCCACATGTTAAAAAAAAAGCAGTGGTTGATCACTTTAGACAAAGAAAACACCGTACTTTGCCTCAGATTTTTATTCACTTTGTACGGCACTCCACTTTCAGTCTAACCAATCAGAAATAAACAGAATATTTCAACTTTAATTTATATCAGCTTAGAATGCCTGCTGAGAAAATTCACACATACCTATTGTATTCTTACCATTAACAGTAGTGAATTATTTATGCAGTTATAAGAAATTGAAATTGAATACCCGAATTCCCACAAAGTAGCTTAAAAAAGCTGCTAACTGTTGTCTGACTGTTATCTTGATTCAGATACATGATTAACATCACCTCAGGATTCTTATTTCGTTAACCAAAGAAACTCAAATGACATTCCATTGTATAAACAAAAGAATCTTAGGATATAAGATTTTCCCGAGTATGCATACTGTAAAATGAGTGATCGGACAAAATTTAAGGTATAATGCTTACTCGACCGAAGTCAAAGTGTGGAGCATAGTGTCCTCCCAACCCGTAATTACCAACTTGCAGATCTTCAGCTGTCTCAAGCGATAAACCTGTAACTGCACGTATACGCTTACTTATTCGATCGGTGATTTCATTCGTTGAATGCGGTAGCCAGGCACTAAAACGAAACAGTGGAAAAGTTGTATAAGCCTACTGGAAGAAAAGATTACGTGGATTACAACAACATATTAAAAAAAACACACAAGTGTCTTGCGAAGAGATAACAGATTTATCTAACTAATGCGTATAATTTTGGGCTATAGTATTTAGGCCTGACTCAGGAGTGCTGTATAATTTGTTCAGAATAGGTTAATTCATTTAAAATAAAACCATATGGCTCACAAAAACTATTTTGGAGAGAAAGAATACTTTGAATTTTATGAAAATTAAAAGATACTGAAATTTTTGTTTTCATTACACAAAAATAAATCTTTTTGATTTTAACATTCCATCACATATTGACATTGAGTTTAGTAGAGAAGAACAACAGTCTTCTTTTCCAGTATCTTTGTTTAGTCTAGAACGAAGACTACTGCTGGTTTAAGCAAATGAAAATCTAGTTTCGCTTTAGGAAGAGGCATTCAAAGAGCCATAAAAGCTGCGCCATGATACAATTAACTTATGCGATGGACGAGTGCGATGACTGCGATCTCAGAAGAAACAAGAAATCTAAATGAATTCCATGAATATACATCAAAAACATGCTTGAGATTTAACTGGGCTGACTGCTGTTAACTACCTACAGACATACAAGATCACCTAACTAAAAATTAGTGTTTCAAAGCAGGACTTAGCAAAAATCCATATCATAAAGTCAAACAATAACTGAGAATTTAAACAGCATTAAACAATTTGGCTTCAGCGCCTCCTGAAAGTAAGTATTAAAACGCAGAATTGCATGGATGGAATTAATTTATTTTCAGCAAGTCAACTACAGAACTAGGAGAAGCTCACAGATGTAAACTTTACTCATGTTTTTAGTAAAATCACTTTTGCTCTCCTGACTAAATGGGGTTGGATTTCAAATAACTGGTTTCTAACACTTAGAAAATGCGACCTTAAGCTACACTTAGTCCAAACGAAGTGACAGTTTGGAGTGCAGAGATTTGTGGATAATGATAAACTGCATAAAACTGAATAAATATCGAAGCCTGGTGACATATCCCATGTTTTATGGAATATCTTTTTCTGTAAGCTGATATCATAAGGATGGCTGGTCCAGAATTTACTTTGGTATTTTAAGGTGGAGTGACTGGTATTTGAAATTCAAGAAGTGTTTGCATACACTGTAAACAAACAAGATGTTGTAAGTACGACTTAATGCCTCTACAACTGTAATTAAATTCTTTATTTAAACAGTGTATTTAAGTAATTAAAACAAAAACTAGAAGTGTAAATAGTACTGTGTTAAAAAAGGTCCCTCACCTTTTACTGGTTCTATAGAAGGCTACCTCTAAATTTCCGGTCACTGGATTTTTGACTGTGGCTCTTCGAAGCTAGATAATGAAAAAAACAAGAGGTATAAAAATGAGCATCTGGATGAACAAGAGTCGTCCACAAAACAAGACAAATTTTAGACATTGATTAAGTGGTGAGTTCCACAGTCAAGTTGAAACTGACTTTAAATTCCAGTTAATTTTGTTGTTATTGCAGAAACCATTGGGACACCATAGACGTGACCAGGATGAACACTGTTGTGAAGATGCGGAAGCTGGTTATAAATTATGATTGAGAAGGTGTGAGAAGGAATTTAGATGTTAATACAGGAGGTTAGTACCTAAAAATTAGCCGTCATCAATTATATATGTCAGCTGTATATTAACAGTTACGCTGTATAAGTATCTCGAAAATATTACCGACAGTGAGCAGTGAAACAGTCTGTTGTGTCAGTGTATCAGAAAGAATCAGCATCTGAGATTCTGTATAAAAGCTATACACATAGATGATTCTAGACTAGTACTTACACCAAAATAAATAAATTTTCAGTGATGAAGTAAAATTGTGTGGAACCTTAATCTGTATTTCTTCCACAAAAAAACTCTAACACAGTATTCACACTATCATCTACATTGAGTATTTGGTCTTGGTAACGAACCAGCATTCCTTCTTTTATCAGTTAGTGCAGTTCGATATAGTTGTAAGTAATTATGTCGAATTAGCTTTGGACTGTAATCTTCAAAGTAAACGACTCCAACACGATTCTTCTGAGAACAAGTACATCATCATATTAATTTAACTAAGACGAAGAACAACCAGTTAAAAATGGTAGGCTTAGTTCTTGGTGTTTCAATGTAACTCAAGCGCAGTATTATTATTATTATGGTTAACTCAGTATGTGAAATCTTTCTTCTAAACTTGCAGTAGTTTACCTTACAGTGATTAAGTAATTTCCAGGTCAACGGTCATTTTGATGGCCATAAAATGATGAAATATATAATTACTATTTAGAACTTACAAGTAATGAACATTCTTTATTCTCTAAGAATTACAATGCATAAACTTCACGTGTTGTATAAAACTTATGTCTTAGATGGTTGAAGGCAATCTGCAGGAAGCCTTGGACCTAGGCTTCGTGCTAGTTGGCACTCATCAGCAAGGCGTATCTGCGACGTCGAAGGAACTCATGTCCCTTCTGAGATTCAAAACCACGTCGCCCAGTGCTGAAGTCAGAGACGTTACCACTGAGCTATTCGTGATCGCTATTGACCTCCAATAGGAATGCATTGGATATTTTTGATTGAACACTAGTCAGTAACTAGTGTAATGTGTCTAATCCTATCTTCGGTGCAGACTGAATTCTATGAGTCAAGCGTGCAACCATCAAATACCTGCAGTTCACAGTTCACCGTGATGCCGAGCCACCTAGCATCGTGGCCACATTGCAAACATGACTGATAGAATTCAGTCTGCACCGAAGATAGGATTAGACACATTACACTAGTTCCTGACTAGTGTCCGATCAAAAAGCTTAAGTATGTTTGAGATGACGATGTCATTCAGATAATTCAGCTTCTTAATAATCTTTCAGATGAATAATAGGTCTCATCCTGTCTAGATAAATTGACGTTCTTTTACTGGACTTCACTAAAAATATGGAAGCTCAAAGATTTAATTAGAGAACTCTAAACTAGTAAGATGTCAGTTTATATCTGTACAAAATAGATGCAACTTTGCTAACCAGATAAATCTTTCTAAGAACGGTGATTTGAAATACAAGTCGAACTTACTCGTGGTGTTGCTAATTTCTTGATTTCTTCAATTTCCGATGGATAAATCAAATCATGCCACATTACAATTCGTGGATCAGGGAATAAAACCTCCTGCTTAACCGGACCGATTTTGTAGAACACGTGAGGGACATAATATTGGCATGTTAACAAATGTGGTGGAGCTGGTGAAAAATGATTCTCACCACGACATAATGCCTCATACACTTCCGTCTCTTGTTCGTGTTTCGACACAGCTATGCAGAAGAGAATGAGAATATAGGGAAAATATTAACAGATAACCCTCCACTGATTTATTTTCCTTCTGTTTTTTATAACAAAACCTTGAATTACAAATCAAAGAAATGGACTGACCACTGTAGCGTCTCATTATATACGGAATGTGCAGATAATATGGTACGAGGCTACTTATAATCGATTAAGTAGTATATCAGAACGAAGTAACAATATGTTGCACACTGAAGAGCAATCAAAGAAGAGAACATAATTATAGTTATCAATAAACATCCTTCACTCTCAGTTTTTTAGATAATCAAGGTACCTTACTTTACTTTATGTAGCCATTTGGGAGCTTTGATAAGGTGACAAGTGAATATATCCACCAGAGATGGCAAACATTACCAATCTTATTTAGTTCTATTACTGATGAGATGAAAACGGCTTTTTATGAGTTAAATATCTCAGGAAGTGGCTTGATATGAAGAGACGAACTAGATTATTTCAAGTACATATACTACACAATCCTATTCAGTGAAAAATAACATCCAAAAAGAGTTAAGGGTATTCAGACTAAAGCATGGTACCAATCCATTCATTCCATGTCTCCTAACAACGCCTCTAAAAACTAATGGTTACAGATAACTGATGAAATGGCATAATATAGTTGATATATATATATATATATATACAATATTTATCTTCCTGGAAGCACTGAATATATCTGGCAACGTCCCCTTACTTAATTTCCATCCTGTCAAATGTATCTCTTTCAGTATTGACTATTTACTTTTATGTAGTAATTTGAACTAAAGCGTTATTGCGTAACGTTCACTCAGTCAGTTTAGTGCATTACACAGCAAATTTTGATTGAATCTACACTGTTGTAGTATTTCACTGGAGTGTCATTCTGTTTATTTTCTCTCCTTCCTTTAGTGTTACAAATATGATAGCCTTGTTAAAATTTCCTACGCTTGTTTGCGTTTGTCTATAGTGGTGGTTGCCTAATATTATTTATTTTCTCATAGATCTTCATCGAGTACTCTCCGACTATTCATAATCATATAAATACAAATCTGAAACGACATGAAAAGCCATAAGGTGCTACTGGAATACAAGTGTTTCACCTAAAAATAACTTAAAAATATGGTGTTATTACCTTCTGGACGTGGATTAGGACCAATTCTTCCTTCACCTAGACTTATTTGCTCCACATAATATGCTTCATTTTTAATGGCTCTTGCATTCGTTGGCTCTAAGGAGGGATAAATAAAAATAGTTGAGATGGAGCAGTACACACTTAAAAGTTGATTCATTTTTCTGAAGTGGAATATATGATTAATCTTACAAGGTAAAAAACTGTTAATAATTGCTCAAGCATCCATCTGACAAATAGGAAGGAAAAGTCCTCATTTAGAAATTTAAAAAACAACAGATTGATTGAGGAAATACTTTTTGATTATATCCTAGTCGAAGGCTATAGTCTTATGTGTATAGCAATTTTACTACAATATGCAATTTACCAGCCTTACGGCGTTAAGTTTTTCTAACAGCAGTTATAGGAAAACAAAAAAACAGTTGCGTCAAAGGAAAATTTTGCTTTTAAACGAAGTCATCAAACAGACTGTACGTTCCTGAATGTATAAAAATGGAGTGGATCAGTTTTCTTGGCAATTATTTTCGTAAGGAATGTTACGAAGTATTACCTAAATAATCTCTCGAAGTGATGCACACTGAATATAAATGATGAAGTAAAATCTTAATTACTCGATATAGAACGCAGTGTGTCATTGAGAGCATATGCATTACTCAAACTACAAGAGGATGAGTAAGGAAATTTCATGGGTTACATCGATTCAATTGCAAAAAGATGATCTCAAGATGTAAACCTGAAAGTAATAAAAGTCTTGAAGCAGTTTATGTTTATTCTACCTTTCCAGAAACATCATATAGATGTGCTTTCGATGAATCCATTACATCACCAACGTATTCAAATGCAGAAACTATATGGAAGTCTGTAATCAGTACGCAAACTACGATGACTTCTATATAAAAGTAAAGCTTCAAGGTTTTGCCTGTCAAACGAATGATCACCTTCAGTTCTCGATTCCAGGTGTCTTGAACTTCTGTCATCAGTACATTAATGTTAAATCACATGCACAACGACTGGTATTAGCTAATGATAGAAGTCAGTTACCCCAGATCTTAGGAATTAAAGATTTGGTGCCGACTCGTCTTAATAAACGTGCTTGTATTTTTCCCATAAATCACCAAAATTTGTATGCTCCTATAGCGCTATTCGTATACAAAATGTGTTCAAACCGTCAGACTGACACACCTGTTCATGGTGGAGTGCTCGCCATCTGTCATTTCAACCCTAAAAACTGTGCGAGGAAAATGGTTTATTCCACCTATCATTCTACCATAATCCTGAGCTCCTTCTCATATGACGGACCCTCAGTTAGTTCGCTTCACTTCTAATAAATCATTAATTGTTGAAGAGAACCATATGCTTGAGTGGTTTTCACTGAAATGTTAACGTTTCACAATATACCCGTTTCTAACTTAAACCAAAGTTTATCTTACTGTATAACCTGGTAACTATGCTATTCACTCGTTCATTTGATCACAGATGCTGCAGGCACATTATTAAATCATGTCTTTCTTTTCTGTACAAATTATGAATTAAACATGTCTATTTTAGATATCGTGGCTTGCCATTTTAAAATAGAAATCCATTTTATCTTACCCTGTTCAATAAGTAAACGTGTAACATTCAAGGCTTCGGCGTATCTTCCTTGCTAAAAATGAGGATATAAAAAAATTAAACAAAAATTACAGTCATCAATTGAAATACACATGATAGATGGAACATGCAAACGACCCAGTTCAGTTAGCGTGCGTGATTATTACCTACTATCATACAAGGTACTCATCAACACAAATCTTGATAACCAAGTTATCAATACACTAGCGACATTTTACGAAAAGAATTTCGCAATCGATAACTGATAGTCAGCGCTTTTGTGAAGATATCCGCCACCAATTCAGATAGCCTTTACAGGGGATAGAATATGATTATGAGTAATAAATTAAAATTCGATCGAATGAATACAGAAGCATTTCCTTACCCTTCCAAGAGAGTAAGCAAGATGATCTAAAATTTGTCCTACAGTTGGTTGGACTTCTTTTTCGTCGATGTTATCATTGACCGCTGTATCTTCCTCAGAAGCTTGAATACCGCTTTCCTTTTTTTCTTCCAGCTCATCGAATAAGCGATCATACGCTACTCGAAACCATTCTTCTGACCGTTCGTAATCGCCTTGAGAATAGGCTTGCTTACCTACTTCCAGGCACTGTGCAGCTGAATAATGAAAAAGTAAAAAAAAACAAGGATACTTTGGTTATGCGTGTCTAGTATGAGGAAGACAAACATGAAGTAGACTACGACTAGCAGACATAAGTTAATCTAATGCTACAATAATTTCGTATGGATTAAAATATTGCTTAACTGTCCCTTTTTTAATCGGTAATATCATACAGTGAACTCTCTAACAGTAACCGATACTACTTATTGTAGATTGTGGAAACAAATATTAAATTAACACAATGACCACTGTGATGAATAGATTGAAGTATTAACTCATTTATGTCCCACAGTCTCATCAGCCTGGAGTACATTCTGGAGTTACATTTAGAGATTAAATGCAGTTTATTTTAATTATTGATACAAAGTACACCTTTTAAATCTGATATTTTTGTGTGAGAAACCAGAATGATATAAGTTGGAGCTGACTCATTGATTGAGGTGCTGGACTCCCGACTATTGAGTTACAGGTTTGAACGTCGCCTTACGAACTACGCTTCGTATGACCAGGTAGTATCACTACCCCTAGCAGCTGTTGCTCATTGACAATACATGAAGATGTAGAAATCTGTTGAACAACACTGCATTTCAGGAGGATGTAAAATCTACAGGCAACACATAATATACCGTTGGCCACAGGGAAGTCCGTTAATTTCAGACACTGGGCGGATTAAAATCCAGCTGTCATCATAACTGCCAACCACCTGACTGGTTATAAGTGTTCTCCAGAAAATTTATGTGCAAAGAAGAAGGAAAACGATTTAAGAAATGGCTATTTGTGAAAAGAAGAATTGTAACATGTAGTTCATGTTAGTATGATTTTATGAGCATTGGAAGATCACCGTCAAACTAACAACGAAGATGTTTGTCACTGACCTATAACACAAAGGAAAAAGCTGATATATATATCACTACACAAATAACCCACTGACTCAAGAATCAGTTACATAGCATTCAGTACTTAACTCTAGACCGAGGCAGTTTTGATTATTTTAATGATAATAGCATTACATCCCCTAGATACATAAAATACTCTGCTATATCTTTCTTAACTCATTTAAACACCACTAAAATGTACCTGCATGATACAAATGTTCTTTCTTTGGAAAAAAGTCAAAAGTTTGGAAATATTTTTCACAGACATTATGCATAGTAAATTAAATTGTTTCTAAGGTCTTTGTTTTTCCTTCACTTAAACACTATTTCGACACGAACTCATTATGAAATACAAATATAATTCAGATGATTTATACCTCCTACAAAAGCCACTAACGAAATTTTTTTGAATACAATTACATGTCTATAACAAATACTGGGCTGTGCACATGATATATTGTCATTATTATAATAATATACAGTTTTACTAAATATGTAGAAATAAATTCTCCATATATTTAATACTGTCAACAAATCCTGGAAATATTCATTCTAGTGGTAGTTTTTGCTCAAACACTTCCGTACTTCTGTTAACTGGCTTCGGGAAATTAGATTTTCTTCTTCTACACAACTCTGCAGATTAGACGTCTGATAGTAGCTGCACATAGCAGAAGCGGAATATTCAGAAGCGGCATTTCATCATAAAAAGAATGCTTCACTCACTAGGCAGCAATTAATTTTTTAAAAATAAGTCGATATTTCTTAGTAATATAGGTTCATGAATTTGAATATTTGTTATTCATGAAAGATGTAAATACATGAGTGGTAATCTTTAGCACATATTGACACTATACGGGTATCATTTTATGCCAGTGCATTCTATCTAATTTGTAAGTGCCTTTCGAAAACCTACATGTACCTTACACTTTCACAAGTAATTTACCTTCTCAACTATTGCTTTTTTCCTGTTTAATATCTATGCATCCGGTCCACTTTTGAGGTAGTTTGATCTGTTATGATGGGTAGATGACTGTTCTGTATTAGGAAAATAAGTCACATATTCACACTAATGACAACTGAAACTTCAAACTTCACCGTTACCTTAACCCGAATACCAGGTTACATCACCCACTTCACTGATTTCTCTTTTGCCTTATATCTTCAACATATTTCTTCCTTTGATGCATTCCATAATGTCCAGCAGTTGAGGTTTCTGTTTGGTAATGTTAAAGTCTACTTGTCTTTATCTAAACAGTGAAGAAACCTTGTATCAATGAACTAAAAGGACCATGAGTAAAAGAAGAAATAACATGATGCACTGAATGTTATGTTTTTGACAAACAAGACGACATTTTATCCATTATTGTATAACCATGATAATTAGTGTTAAATTACACAAGTGTCTTTGGAACTTTTAAAATAATAGCTGATTAAATGATAAGTCAGTCAAAAGGTTTCAGTACAAATTACCCCGCGTTATCGTTTATTCTAGTTTTTGATTGTACAAGCGCAATGCGTCAAATTAATATTCCATTTTACCCCTTATATCCCTCAGTTCCTTTTCTCCTTCCATTCCTATCGACAGTAAACTTGTTGTATTTAAAGAAACCGTAGATAACTGAAACATCTGATCATCAGTTGTACCAGTACCTCACAGTTCATTGACATTAGATAAGACTAAGAGACTGTTCCTTAGAGTGTTAAATACAATACAAGTCTCCGTAGTTCATTTAGCAAACAAAAACAAACAAGATTGTTTATTATTTAAATGAAATGTTAGTGCTATGACGAATGTTTTAGTAAAATTTTCCAACCACCAGATAAACCAGAATTATTTATGCAAAGGAATTTTAATCGAATTGTCTCACAGTTAGCTTTGATTTAGTCAATCCTAGTCAACCATCACTACTATCAATAAACACTTAATTGTCAGGCTCGTTTCGCCCCTAAGTCATTTGGAAGTGTGAAGCATAATGGCGGTGATTGATTTTCGTATGAACGCTTCTTGCAAAAGATGTAAAGCGAAGCTATACAGAAGGTTAACAAGGAGGAAAAGTCAGACTTCAGATTTTAGTTATATTCATGCATTTAAAATACTTATTCAGTTATACGTAAAAACAGATACGTCTCGTTAACTAATATGTTGACAGAGAAACGTTTTTGAACACAACAAAAGATTTCTTGCATCACATTCTCAGGAAGGAGTATTCACAAGATATGACAAGTAGGAGTCTGGTTGAAGTAGTGTGATATCCGTACTGATATTAATGAATTCAGTACTGAACAAGAATGAGTAAGAACCTTTAGTTAGTAAGGACTGATATTTGTAGAACTGTAGTGATATGAAAACTCTAAATATTGCCGACAGTTGTCAGACATTAAACCTCTGGACTACTGATATAAGAATAAAACTTGTGCACTGTGGTCGAGTATAATTCCATTATGGATAAAATTTCTTTTGATAAAGTCCCACAGTGTTATACAGTAATGTTTACTGATGACGTTTCCAGCACAATTTCTGGCTCATAATCATATCAAGGTACTCACACAACTTTCTAACTTCGTTTATATAATTCCATTATTTTCCATCGCTTGATTTGATTGGTAGGAGTATTTTCCATATTTCTGGTATGAGTGATGAGTCATGGAAATATGGAAAATACTCCTACCAATCAAATCAAGCGATGGAAAATAATGGAATTATATAAACGAAGTTAGAAAGTTGTGTGAGTACCTTGATATGATTATGAGCCAGAAATTGTGCTGGAAACGTCATCAGTAAACATTACTGTATAACACTGTGAGAAATTTTATCCATAATGAAATTATACTCTAGACTACTGAGCCACATGATCTATCTCTTCTCTGACTGGTATCAGTTGTTCAATATTAAAATTGTTTTAAATTTTTTATCGACAGATTTTATCGAACGTGTTCTTGGATTCCCTGTTAGCCACTCTCAAGTAAATAGGGTCATTCCTCATCTTTATTACTAGGAGGCGATGTGTTATACTAATACAACATAACTAACGCACTCTCAAATCCAATGAAACGTTTTATCTACACCTGTTAATATAAGAAGGTGGATAGAAACTTGGAAATTATTGGAAAAGCCATTAGTCAGGAAATGCGAAGCCTTATCTGCCAGCAGGTTATTTCAAAGTGTTATGTAATATTATGTTTTATGTCAGAAATAATTTTATTGGGCCAGTGGTTGTACTGATTAAGGAAAGTTACTTTATGTTTCTTACCATATACTTATATTGTTTACTTATATACTTTTCAGTCCATATTCATCAGGAAATCTGTTAAAACAATATCACTACTGTACACAAACATAAAATATCAGTCTAAATGTGGATTAGACTTACCGCTTAGTTGAGGACATGACAGGTTATCGATCAGGTGACCATAAGCAAGTCGACTGGCTGGTAGTTTGTACGTAGACTGCAAGCGAAGGATGGCGTCTACTGCACCGTTCACATCATTATCACCAGGTAACATATCAGTGTGCTGTTTAACACGTGAACGAATGGTATTCATTGACAATTCAGAAAAATTCAAGTCATCAGAACTATTGCCATCGTCATTGCTACTAGGATCACTAGATACATTGTCAACCAGTTGACTTAACTTTGATTTCCAATTTGATGAAAGACGTTTCATTGTTAAATAAGCGTTGATTGGATTGCCCAAATATTCCTCAAGTTTGTTGTTTTGTTGATATGGTGTTGTTGTTGAGTCATTGACTGACTCAACAGTATCTAGTAATTTTATCACCTTACGAATTTCATTTAGACGAGTTTCTTCAAGAGTGATATAAGAGTTTAAATCGGAGACTAATTCTTGACTTAGTCGCCATGCTTTCGTAATGTCAACGATAGCAGTATAGTACTCTGCATTCACTCGATTGTATTGAAAAAGTATGGTGCACACGAAGATGGACAGAATTAAGAACATTACTGTACAGTATTGCAAAATTAAATGAAACAATTTTTTGCCATGAAGTATTTGTGTAATTGACCTTGGGATACGTTTACAAATCGATAGATAGGTAGACATGGGAAGACAGACGAACATAAGAGATTCCACCAATCAAAATCATATGTTCAAAGTGTTGTGCCTTTAAAATCAATTAAAGTAGATGTATTAACGAAAGGGATAGACAGGTGACTATGATTTACTGAATTTCTTTGAAAAAAGAAGTTAACTACTATTCAACAACAAAAATCACATCGATGATGATTCATAAAATACATAAAATTTACGTAGAATAACATATTAATTATAAGGTTATCGAATAAGTAGTATTTGTGTGACAAACGCTCTGGGCTGAAAACCAATACGAAACATTGTGAAAGGCTAGACAATGATGACGTTATATGAACCTATTGTGAATAATCACCGTCGTAGTCTCATATTTCACAATATTTTATACTTTCATTCACCTTAACTAACGTGAACTGACCGTCATTCACCTGAGCGATGTTAGCACCAAAACGGAAACATATATCACTCAAACTCTAGAAGCAATAGAAAAACTTGGTACCGTTGGACAGTGTAGTCGGTGGCTCAGCGGTAGGGTGGTCACCGACTATGCATGTGGTCCGGGGCTTGAATCTCGGCCGGCACAAATCTCTACCCCCTTGGCCGGTTTTAAGCCCAACAAAGATTGGTTAGGCTGGGCGTGGGAGTGGCAACCTTACCCCGTAAAAAAGCACATCTGTGACGGAGACTTCGAAGCTCAAGCTTGAAGCCCTGTGTTCCACTGGGAACCCAAAGGAATAAAATTAAAAATTAAAAAACTGTTTCATAGTACAAATCGATTTTACGATTCAAGGCCGATAAATAATCACAAAATCACATTTCTGTAATCGCCACTTCCGGACTTTACACATTTCCATTACTCAGTAACTACCGTTCGCAAATACTGTACTTCTTACAGTAGAAAACCACGTGTAGTAGATTTATTAAAAACCATATGTATTGAAGCAGAAATATTTTCATTGCCGATGCATTTTGTGTGAAATGATTTCCAGTGTGTTTTCGGACACTGTAAAATACAGGAATCCAGCTAACGAAATGCTTGAAAATATCTGTGGTTCCGGATGCTATTAATCTGGCAGCACATTTTTCTGTTCTGATATTTAATCGCATTACATTTCATGGGAAAGTTTTCTACAACAGATAAAATTCCTCTGTAGATTGCTCACTTATAAGTGAAACTTCACCACAATTACATTCAAAAACCCAAAATTATCAGAACACGCTGTGTATCTTGCAAGACACTATAAACAGTATCAAGAATACATGGGTAATTCTGAAGCGCAATATACTACGAATTCGTATGAATTGTCAGAAAACTCATTATTCAGTGGCGCTCGCTAGCGAATGATAAAGAATGCAAGTTTGGCAGGCACCTTTACTGGAAGGGAAGTTGTTTTAACCTGCTTTTTTGTGATTCCATTATCAAGAAGGAGAATTAAATTCAAATGTAATTTAGGAAGTGAAACATCTCAACTACACAGGGTACACCTTTTAAATGGATTCCACACTTCAAAGAATGTGCTGACCGAGGAATTACTTCCAAATTTCAAAAGTACCTCTTGAACTTCTTCGGTAGAATAAGGGTTTATGCACTTTGCACATTTCAGAAGGAACTGGAGAAAACAACGTGACGTGATTAGACAACAAAACTATCGATGTTCATTTTTCAGCTTGTTTATGTAAGGGAGATTAGGTAATAATAGGGTTATCTCATATCTACATGACATGAATCTTTTCATATTGGCAACTCATGTCAGGTATTCTATCGTCATTAAGAGAATTGTTAGTTTTTTAAACTTGGCAATGTAGTTGACCTGCATTCACTTTTGAGGCACTGTTACAAATAACTCCAGTAAACGAAACTGAGATACATCTTTAAAAACGTTTTGCAGGAAGAAGTGTACTTCCTCATTAGGCTTCTCAAATAACAAACATGTTTCACAGTTAATATTGAAATATCACTCTAGCATTGAAAAGTTATTTAACAATCATTACGCGTTTAAAGCCATTAAGTTAAATATCCTGTGAAACCAACATGTAGAACAACGCACCGAAGCTATGAATGAATTGTTCAAAATGTGTTAGTGTGTATGGAATATGTGGGTGAGGGAAAAATATGTGTATCTGTTCTACTAAGCATCATTTTGTCCTATTTATGGGACATGTATTGTTTACTTCGTATGTCAGTGAATCATCATATCACTGTGCATCAGGTATTTCAAATTAAACTCGTCTACCACTTTTATTTTCCTTGTATTCACTTACTCATCCAGTTATTGTATCATTTTTTAAGAACCGATAAACTGGTAAGACAATCATCATGTTTCTGAATCACACAATAATTATTCCCTGTTAACACGATCTTTGAAATGAATTCAAATGTTTACGAGGACGTTAATATATTTTTTTGATAAGTTTTATCATGCGCACATTATAGCTTTTAGATAGGCGAAATAATTTCTGATAAGACTTCAGTAAACGTAATATACAAGATGAATCACTGAAACAAAAACACTAATTTCGGAGAATAAGTATTTTCAAGTGTTGGTCAATAAAAAGCTGATTGATCGCAAAGTAAATTTTAAGGCGAACTGATATTTGTTAGAAAACCTCGAGTAACACGTACTACTGGGAAGCTTGTTTAATCCTGTTTCAAGCCTTTTTAACAGTACTCACCCATAACTCCACAGAAGATCGAACCAAGCAACCTCAACTTACCATTCAGCCACTGGATTAGGATCTAATTCAAAGCAGAATATTTTACACAAAACAAAACATCAAATAGTGAAAAATTACATGAAATTCAATAGTGGTGAACACCTATTTATTTATGTGATGCGTGATGACTGAAGGTGAAAGGAAAATCTGGGTCACGGTAGGATTCTAACCACCGACCTTCCAAATACTAGCTCTGCTCTCTACTAGGTGCTCTCTGAAATCCAGTTTTTGACCTTGCCTACAGTCATCACGCATTTTATCAATGAATTCCACCAACCCAACCTATTTATTTATTTATTAATTTGCGGAAAAAACTACAAAAGACATTGTGTGACACTAACTGAGTTAAGAATTTATGCGTTATGTTGTCACTTTCTAGTTCACTCACTTGAGTAAGCACTAAGTGATCCCTGATGGCAATGAATATACATATTCAAGATTTCAACCCGTTATTGTGAGACTAATCGTATCATTTATTGTAGCACTCATAATCCATAAATGCTACCTAGCAACGCGGTGTATAACCTCTGTTTCAACGTTAAAGTATTGAGTATAGTAGAAAGATATTTCAGAGGATGTTTGCAACTTGGTGATTGCAAGCTTTTCTTGAAAAAAAAAGCCAAACAATCCGGGTGTTCACATTATACAGCCTCAACACTCCCTGAGATTATACATACTAGAAAAATAATTGTCTGTAGCAGTCGAATATAAGAAGCGAATGAATATTTCCGTCTAATAAGTGTATTATTTGGTAAGCTTGAAAGAAGTGATAAGATCCACTGATTTGAATAAATACTGTACACTATGAGAAGATACTCTACCAGTCTAAGCTGAGTAAATTAAATTTGTCATAAATGGGAATAAATAAAATAATTTGCCTTAGGTAAACAAAAAAATTTTATTCAAACGCTCCTTAATAACTTCAAGTAAAATAACAACAATGTTATCTTGACCTGCGAGAGAGAAGAACTGAAATAATTGCTCGCATGAAACCAAAAGTCATAACACAGGCTTTATTTTCATGTTTTCACTACTTACCCAAAGAGTCAGTATTTTTCAGGGTAGTAATAAATTCGTAATAATGTACTGTTGAACGCATAATTTAGGCGTCTTTCTTCCGACGTCATTAGTTTCACCAATTCTAAGTAATTGTAAGGTGTTTTAAAAGATTTTAATGTGTTCATGTAGTATCTTGTTTCAGCTAGGTGATGTAATGTTGTACTGTTAAACCAGGTTGTACTTGTGAGGCGTAAACGCCTCAGTACGTGTTCTGCAATCTTGACAAACAACACTCGTAGGATAATTTTATTTGATAATAATTAAAAAACAGTGATGCAGTATTATTCACTAGTGATGTTTCGAGCACAATTTATTGCTCATAATCATATCAAAGCACTCATATAAATTTTAAACTTCTTTTACATTCTTCTGTTAATCCTTAGCCTCTGATTTTATTGATAGCAGCAGCAACATCCAGCGCCAATCACCATCAACGGGAGGGATTTGAAAGAGGTTACTTAATTCACTTATCTAGGGACCATTGTCTCAACCACAGGAGGAACGGACGAGGATGTCAAATCAAGAATCGGGAAGGCGAGAAACACATTCATCAACCTGAAACCAATCTGGAAATCTTCTTCACTCAGTATCAACAACAAAATTCGGATTTTCAATACAAACGTCAAGTCAGTCAGTTCTTCTATACGGATCAGAAACTTGGCGGGTAACCAAGAATATTTTCAACAGGTTGCAGACCTTTATCAACAACTGTCTTCGTTCCATACTGAAGATTAGATGGCCGGAAAGAATCACCAACAAGAAACTGTGGAAACAAACGAAACAAGAACCAATTGCCCAACAAATATGCAGGAGAAAGTGGAGATGGATTGGACACTCGCTGAAGAGGCCGTTGGGTGACATCGCGCGTCAGGCCAACGCTCGAGTGGAACCCGAAAGGGAAGCGGCGAGTGGGACGTCCAAGGGTGAAATGGAGGAGATCGTGTGATGAGGAACTGAAACAACATGGATTAACATGGATGCAGGTGAAAAGGACAGCACAAGACAGAAACAAGTGGAGAAGTGCAGTTGAAGCCCTTTGTTCCACTAGGAACCCAAGGGAACAATAATTATAATATTTTCTCTATTTCTGGAACTGCTGTCGAGTCATACATACATATATAAATATATGTGTTATGTGACGGTGTGCTAGTGCATGTATTAAGACTGTTGAGTTTCTGTCTGAAGTGTTTATCTTCCTGGAGTTATTCATTCTAAACTTTGCTAAGTTCTTACGCTTCGATAATCTGAATACCCCATATCTACTGGTGCAACCTATATAGTTAACCTCACAATCACTGA